AACGGGCTCACACACACAACAAACACAACGAACACACGCATCAACTACAGATTTCGGCATGGACATATATATACGTATATTACTATATATATATGTAATTCTACTGTATAGCATATAAATATATGTTAACATATATAATATATATACTAAGTATAATATATATAATCACTAATGATTTATTATATATATATATATATATAAATATACTATATATATATATATATAATATATATTATATGACTATTAAGTATATATATTTCATATCATCCCTCAACGTGAACATATAACATCTTAATATCAACTATCCCTGTCCTAACACCACCTCACCATATGTATATTAATATGTACAGTATATATAATATACTATATATAATATAAGAAACGATATACATGAATATATATATATATACTATATTATCATAATATAATTATAATATATTATACTACAAACTCACACACAACATCGAAGCAGCAAAGCAACAACACCAGGCACACAGAGCGAAAACAGCACATACACGTACACCAACAACACATCCCAGCTCCATCCCCTGCCCCCTCCCCCTCCCCCTCCTCCATCCCCGTCCAGCCCTCCCCCTACCCCCTCTCCCTCCGGACACGCAATAGCAACACACACAAACAAGACAGAGGATCCATATATGAGTATATATATAGTATATATATATATATATATATATATAATAATATATGTATATATTTCTAACAACATATATATAATTATATATATAATATTATATATTAACATATATATATGTTATATATAATACTATAATATATATATATAATAAAAAATATATATATAGTGCATATATAATATAATAACCTATAATATATTATATATAAATATATATCCATGTTTAACGTATATATAATATTATATTATATATTAAATATGATATATATAGTATATTATTATTATTTTTTTTTATTTTTTTCTTTTTTTTTTTTTTATTTTTTTTATTGTTTTTTTTTTTTTTTTTTTTTTTTTTTTTTTTTTTTAATTTTTTATTTTTCCCCTACCCTCTTTATTTTTTTTCTCCCTACCTTCGCTACCTCCTTCCTCTGTTTTTTCTTTGTTTTTTTTTGTCTGTTTTTTTTTTTTTTTTTCTTTTATTTTTATTTTTTTTTTCAGATATCTTGTTTCATTTTTTTTTTTCTGTTCTCTTTCTTTTCTTTAATATATTTATGTTTATCAGCATATAATACACTTTAATATATAATATATATACCTACTATATATATCTATATATATTAATATATACATCAAACAAACATATATAGTATATATATACCTACTCATACATATATATACTATATATATTTAGACAATTATATACGTAAGTATAGTATCTTGAGATATATAGTATACCCAAGCACAGAGCCACAGGACGCACATAACATACACACACAAACACCATAACAAACCACACACACACCACCAGACAGCACGGCACCACCCACCATTCACCAGGATATATAAGGTACTATATATATGAATATACTATATAATTATATAATACCATACATAACATATGTATATATATATGTATATATATAGTATAAATATATAGTAATATATATATTATATATACATATATATATAAATATATATGTATTATGTACTATATAATAAATATATATATAACTTATACATATGTATACATATTCTGTATATATATTCCTAGATATGACATCTGTAATATGTAATCGTAAAGATATATATTACTATAAAATATATATATAAATATATATATTAATATACTATATATATACTTATATAATATAATATATACC